TCCACCCAATCAATGCTTATATGATCTTTTTCAACTTGCTCGCGAAATCTTCAGGCATGTCTTTCTGATTCCATATCTTCTTCACCTACCTTTTCCCAGCGGTACAAAATTTCGTTGAAGTCTCCAATGCAAATCCATGGGAGGTGATTTGTTGAGCTTATTGCTTGTATTTGCTGCCATAGCTAGAGTCTTTCCTGAAAGATTGTGGGGGCATGTAAAAAGGTGATACGCATCATGTTCCCACTGTCTTGGTCCCTACAGGATACATTAATGAACTCCTTTGAGCTATCTTCAACTACCACTTCCACTCCTTCGTTCCACAAAACAGCCAAACCCCTCGCTATCCATATAGGATCGACTATCACCGCTTGTTGAAATTGAAGTTGCCTCCTGATTCTGTCTACTACTATTTTTTTATTCTTAGTTTCCATTAGAAACACTAAGTTGGGTCTATCTTGAGCCACTAAGGCTCTGAGATGTTGGACTGTCAAGGGTGCACCCAACCCTTAGCAGTTCCAGCTCAAAAGCTTCATATATCCCCCGGTGGCTTATTAGGGCTAGCCACCAAAGCCCATTCGCTCATCCCAACCACCATCTGAATTGGTGTATCAAGTAGCGCTTCCTTGTTAATAGATTGATTGAGAAAGTCATGCAGGCCGCATGAGTTGAGTATTTTCTGTTTCTTCGTCGCAGCCACCTTCTTAAAGGATTTGAGCCCAATCTTATCTTTCCTCGAGGTTTTATCTCGTTTGGCCTCCCTAGCCGGATCAAATAGGATGATTTGGTTATCCTGCTTAGTCTTCCCCTTGAGCAAGGTAGGTCTCTCAGCTTGCTGATTTTTGCCTTCAATTCAGATGTTATAATCAGCTCCATGGATGTTCCAGCTTGATGGTTAGCACCTACAACTCCGGTCCCCTCCTTATGTTTAGTTCTTGGCGCCTCTGGCTCTACTAGGATAATCTCTCTTGGTGTTTCCGGGATCGTTTCTTCATCCTCTGACATTGGCCCCTGTTTATCATAGAAAATCTTCCAGTAAGGACTGAATTCTCGTTCTTCCACTTTTATCCACTGCCCACATTTGCCCTCGATGTTTTCTTCAAGCCTTGATTCCTTATTCGGTACTTCTTTGCAGAAGGTAGCATAATGACCTATCCTTCCACACGAATAGCAATAATGTGGAAGTCTCTCATATCTGAAATCCACCCAGAGTTTCTTGTAACCTAAGTCCACAATAGTTCCTGATTTCAAAGGGGAGGATAAGTTCAGGAATACTTTTGCTTTACCATTCTTACGAGGGCAGCCACCTCTCGACTCCAATTTCACCTCTAAGACTCTTCCTAGTTCCCCTAATACACTCCGAATCACTTCCTCTGTTACTCTCCCTCGGGGAAGGCCTACTACATGAACCCAAAACGCGCAATGTGTGAATTCGCAACAGTGCTTAGGAGTGTCTGGGTCCCCTTGCTAGAGGACCAATAAGTTAGTCGAGAAGGACCAAGGGCCCATTTCCAACTCTCTCTTTTTCTCCTCCACCAGATTGAAGGAAAATGAAAAGACCCCTGGCTCAATAAGCTCACATTCTACCGACTCAGTCTTCCACACTTTCCTCATCATGCATAGAAAAGCTTGGAAGTTAACATTTGATTTTGAAAATAACTTCCCATAGAGCAGACGATCGCACTCCTTTTTTTTTCTTCATTAATGTCTCCTTTAATCGGTATTACATCATCTTCTGACCATAGATTCCCAAGTTTCCTACATAAGACAGCCAGGCGAACATCACTACCCACCTCACCTTCCATAGTTGAGGCTGGAAAGCTGGGGTACCACTGGCAAGTGAGCCCTCTGCAACCGTCTATCCTTGCTTTTTTGGTTTTCTTTGATGCAGGGGGCAGTCGCCCTTGGAGCTTGAACCCACAAGAGAGTCGCACCCATCACTCTTCCTTCTCTGTTGCTGCCATTTTCAGAATCTTCACAGGAACGCAGCTGGAGACCAGTACCGATGACTTACTGTGGATGCTGAGGTTGGGTGGGTTGCGTGTAGAGTGATTGAAGGGCTCGGGTGAAATTGATTTAGGGGAAAAATATGTGGGAAGGTTTAGAAGTGGTGAGGGTAAGCAAATACGGTTTGTGCAGGTAAGAGATGCCACCCTCTTCCATTGATTAGGGCTTGAAGCAGGATCAGCTCGGGAGAGGAAGCATTTCGAATAGGGTAAAACGAAGACCGAAGGGTGGAAATGTTTCATCTATCGCCTCCTTGTCCAACGATGATCTAATGGTTTGTCCTTATGTGTTCTGCGGTCGTCGTTTGACGATCCTCTCTCTGAACCGGTTTGTGTTTGTGATCAGGCCACGGTGGTCGGTGGTGCTGCTGCTGGTAGCGGGGCGGGTGCGCCATTGAAGCTGAAGCTGTACAGCTACCGGAGGAGCTCATGCTCCTTCTGTGTCTGTATTGCCCTCAACTTGAAAGGTCTCCCCCCCAAATGCGCGCTCGCCTGGGATCCGCCGCTGCTCTCACTGAGCTGTTTATGCAAACCGAATATGCCACCTTCAAAAATGACATTCCCATCCTCAAGACCGGTGAGGATTTTCCCTTACTCGCCCTCACGGCTTCACGGTTAATAAACGGGACACCACAACCAAACAAACAAAATACTTGAAAAAAGTTGGAATCACAAAGATTGATATTGTCAAAATACTATGATAATGAATCTTTTAGCTAAGATGAGATTCGACCAAAAAAAAAAAACTATGATGAGAGTGGAAAACCCACAAACCTTGGAATATAAGTAATTTGCTTTTCACAAAAAAATGATATCTAGCTCCGTTTGTTTCACGGAAAATAATTTCCGGGAAAACATTTTCCGAATTTTCCGGTATTCGTTTCATGGAAAATAACTTTCCACGGAAAACATTTTCCTTCCTATGGATAAAATGCCTTCACTTTTGAGGAAAATCATTTTCCTTCTTCTTCTATCACCATTTACTTTCAATATTTTCTTTTTCTTTTTTTTTTTCTTCTTCTTTCTCAGCAGGTCGCTGGCCACAGCGGCGGTCGGTGACCAACCAGCTCGAGCCTTGCCACAGGCCGGCGAGGCTCTGTCTCGCCTAAACCAGCATGAGCGAGCTTGTCCAAGGCTGGTCGAGGGAGTTCGGGCCTTGCCAGATTCGGCGAGTTGGGCGAGGCTAGGTCGCCAGACGTCGGCGGGGCTCGCCCAGCTTGTCGGATTTGGCGAGGCCCAAGCTTACCTGTGCCAAATCATGCGAGCCGGAGCCTCGCCATAGGCCGGAGAGGCTTGTCCTCGCCGGAATTTGGCGAGCTCGAGCCTCGTCGGCTTGTGGCGAGGCTCGAGTTGGTCGGTCGCCGGCCGCCATCGTGGCCGGCGACCGGCTGAGGAAGAAGAAGAATGACGAAGAAGAAGAAGAAGGAAAAAAAAGAAAAAGAAAAAAGAAAAGAAAAAGAAAAATATTTTTAATGACTTCTGGGAAAATTAAAAAATATTTTTCGAAACTTTTTCAGATTTCAGCTGAACACTGGAAAATTGTGTCATTCTCCAGGAAAATGACTTCCGGGAAAATATTTTTCACAAACGTAATATTTTCCGATGAAATGAACGGAGCCTTAGTGATTAGTTTTCCTTAAAAATATTGCTAGTTAATTGCATTGAAAATTTGCCCATGCAATAAAACATTTTAATGAATTTTTTTGTATTAAATAAAATTGAAAAGGTAGGGTAAATTAGGAAAAAATCACATCTCTGACAGCACATAAGTATTATAATAGTAGAAAAACTTACTAAAAGAATAATATATCTAATAAATGAACTTCTTTGATGATTTATGACAAAGCATAAAAAAACACGGGTCGAAGATGATATGCGGGAATTTCTTTACCATTCATATTTTTATAAGAGAATTATTTTTCAATCATATTAAATTAAATAACACATCTTGATTAGATAATATAGAGAAATTATCAATTTACCACTTAGATAGAAATCATGTGAGGCATGGAAGGAGAATTGATGGGTCAATTACCTCCTCCACTAATTTGAAACGATAGAAATCCACGTAGCAACATTTGAAGTCATGAAAAGAGAAAATTTATCTTTTCACGATAGATTTTTATGGTTTTAATTTTTTAATAAGAGTAGTTGTGTCTGGCATGGAAAATTTTTAAAATTATCTTTTAAAAAAGTCCAAATTATTTTACTAAATTAAAATAAACATTGGGAGTGCCGTCCTGGATGACGTCACGATTTAGAATTTTTGTTTTTTACGATTATTTACTAGCCACGGGCGAGGTGATCCAGATCCAGCGAGGGTTGGGCTTTTGCTTGTGGCCGTCGAAGGTTGCCTAGGCAAAGTCGGGCCTCACCTGTGGCTTTCAAGGGCGGCCTCACCCGACCCTTTTTGGGTATTGCCGGTGGCAGGCTATCACCTAAGACTGGTCACTGGCGAAAAGGAAAGAAAAAAAGAAAAAAAAGAAAGAATAAAAAGGGGAAAATATCAAAAATTAAAGTACGAAAATTCCTTTGACTAGTCGGTAAAGTCCGATTTGAAATAATATTCACCTCAATTCCTTATTTTGAAATAACGAAGACACTTTATGTCATTATTTCGAATTTTCCCTTTTATGTCTTGAAAAGTGAAAATTTTATCCTTTCACGATAGAGCATCATGGTTTCGATTTCTTTAGTAACAGTAGTTGTATCCGCAATATTAAAATGGAAATTCTTTTTAAAAAAAATTTCCACTTAAAAATGTCCGAATTATTTTACTGAATTAAAAATAAACATCGAGAACGCCGTCCTCGATGACGTCGCGATTAAAAAAATTCAAAAAAATGCGAAAAAAGAAAATGTCTTTTTTTTTTACGGGATAAATAAAAAGAAAAGAAAGGGGGGACACGGCTCTTTGGCCGTTTTACGATCGTCTTCTTCGTCGTCCATAAATAAATAATTCGTTCGGCCACCATTTCCACACCCACTCTGACAGTGGCGAAGCTTTCCTTGCTCGCTTCCTTCCTTCCTTCCTTCCTTCCTTCCTTCCTTCTTTGATCGCCGGTGCAAGCGTTCGATCATGGTGTGCGCGCGCATCTCCCCAGTCGCCCTCTCGTCTCTCGGTCCCGATCGCGGTGTCCCGCCGACGTGTGGCGATCCTCTCTCTGAACCGTGTTTTTGTGTGTGTCTGTTGTTCACAGGCGGCGGCGGTCGGTGGCGGCGGCGGTGGTGCTGCTGGTGCTGGTGCTGGTAGCGGGGCGGGTGCGGCGTCGAAGCTGAAGCTGTACAGCTACTGGAGGAGCTCCTGCTCCTTCCGCGTCCGCATCGCCCTCAACTTGAAAGGTCTCGCAGTGGCTTCTTCTCAACCCCCCCACTTTCTCTCGCGCGCCTTTATGTTTTCGTGCTGTTCTGTTGCGATTGCTGGCGTGTTGATATGGAATCCGAGCTTCGGAAGTCGTTTCCGCGGCGTTTTATTTAAATTCTTTGTTTCTTGGGTGTGACTTTTTTTTTTTTGGGGGGGGGGGGGGGGTTTTGTGGTGCTGCGCTTATTTGGTGTTTTAGAGGTAATTTTGTTTGAATTATTCCCTGGTGCGATGTGATGATGGCGATAATTTTTGGGATTTGAAGGGCTTGAGTACGAGTACGTACCTGTAAATTTGGTGAAGGGGGAGCAATTGAGTGCAGGTGAGTCCTCCGTTGGCTGTTCCCTCTGTTTTTGTTTTTCCCCCGTTATCCTGAGTTAATGCGGTGCTCTGGTCGTGTTTATCGTTTGCTTTATCCTTGGAAGGCCTATGGTTAAGCTATTACTGCATTACAATCGGCTTGCACGAGCATGATGGGCATTGTCGAATATGGTTGTAATTCCCATCTGTTGGCTGGGCGATGGGATGGGAAACTTGTCTCAACATGGTTATGTTTTCCAATCCGACTGTATGGAGTAATCTGTCAACTTATGGTTTTCAACATTTAATGTGTTAGTTCTTTCCTCCAGCAGTGGAATATTTATCTCTAAGGGTGGTTGAAGAAAGTCTTACACAGTGAATCAGATGTCAAGATTACTGGAATACCCCGTATAGACTGAGAAGCAAAGATGCTGGGTGTGGAGAGTTTACAAAAGACTTTTAAGGAGATTTTTTTAACTCTAATGTTTTTCTATATGTTTTCGTTTTGGCTCTCTTTGTTTCCTCTATAGCCGTCCGAATAATTTATCTATTGGCACCAATTGCGTTGTCATGTATGACCCAATTTGTGTTTAACTGTGTCATAAGTTCCTTCCAGAAAAAAAGATTTGCTTGCACTTACTTACCTTTGAGCAGTGTGAGATCATCATAATCTACCAAATGAGGTCATGCTGCCAGTTACTTCTCCTGACATGATACTGTGAGAATGTTATTCTGTCTTATGTCTTGCTGCATATACCCCGCTTTACATCCTTTCTTTTTGGGAAATTTATTTTACCTAAAGGACAAAGAGAGAGTGTATTATAGCAAGGGTAACAAAGACATGTCTGTTTGTCAGTTACCCGGCTGTGACATTCTTTGATTTCCGAAGTACTAGGTAGAAGCAAGTTTACCTTTTTGGCTTGGCAGCAGGTAGTCAAGTCCTCCATATTCATGATTGGATATAGTTCTTCTCACTGCCGTTTTGCTTTTTCAAATGGTAGAGTTCTCAAAGCTTAATCCAATTAGTTATGTGCCCGTGTTGGCTGATGGGGACTTTGTGCTGGCAGACTCATTTGCTATCCTAATGGTGAGAATTTGCAACTTTCAACTCCTTCACATATCATATTACTGGGCATAGAGGACCCTTCATCATTTTATAGACTTTCTTGTGTAGGCTGTGGCCTGTAATGTGTCCTTTATGCCTTGCAGTATCTAGAAGAGAGATATCCTCAGCACCACCCACTGTTGCCCGGTGATTTGAAGAAAAGGGCAATCAACTATCAGGTAAAAAGGTTATTACTTTTGGAGGCTTTTCCTTGTCTTCCATGTCTATCTGTGAAGAATCTAGCAACATCATAAATGCCTTAATAAGTTTTAAATTGTTCCACTGGCTTTTTGTTGCATGTGGATCTATAAGGTGATTGCCTGGTCAATGACATGAATAAACCTTCAGTCGAAATCTGTTCAGGCATACGACTTTACCAGAACTTCCAGTTCCAGCATTAAAGGCTGGTTATAAGTGTGACCTCAGCCTCCATCGTTCTTTTTCCCCTCAAAACAATACACCAAATCATCATTTTTCTGCTAAACTTTTGCCAAATTTTCTTAAGTTACCTAAAATTTGGTTGAACTATATCTGTAACTGCCTTGGGGGTTAGGCCAGAGCCACCAGCTATAAAATTCAGAGAGTAGGACAAGGATTCTGGCTCTGTGGGTGGTGACAACTGAGGAATTAATTCGCTTGTTGACACTAGGCTGAGGTGCAATAGGGAGATGACAGGGAGATGAAGTACCTGTATATTATGACATATGTCAAGACTGACAAACAGCAATGATTGGAGAATAGATACATGATGTGTTTTTTCATGTTGACTTTCTATTCCTTTTATATGATCTTATGGCTTCTTTTTCTGTTGAGTAACTCGGTCTTTTTTGTTTAGGCTGCAAATATTGTTTCTTCAAGCATACAACCTCTTCAGAATCTCTATGTTCTGGTAAATATCTGAGGAAATTAATTGTTCCTCTCAGTAGCTGGTTTCAATATACGGGAATGTGCCTAAACAACTGTTGCATCACAGAAATTTCTTGAGGAAAAAGTTGGTCCCAGTGAGCCGCTTGCTTGGGTTCAATTTCACATTGGAAGAGGCTTTTCGGGTACATTATAGTATTATTGATAACTCTGCTGATCTCCTTTGCTTTTTTTCCCCCTCAATTTTTTTCTTTTTTCTTTATTTTTTTTATGTAAGGGGGTGGGGGAGAGGGGTGGTGGAGATGATGTCTTCCTTTTTGATAGCATGATTGTATGTGCACAAGTTGTGAAGGTCAGCTAGGTGATAGCTTTCCCTTGAGCAGATGCTTTGCTGATTTTTGGTTGATTTTCCTTCTGCATAATCGGAGCGGTTAAATTTAGAAGCAATTTAATAGTGAAATAGTTTAGTATAGAAAAAATAATTATACTCAAGAGGAGGGAACCTCCTAGTTGCAGTTATATACACCTTATAAATTGACACCATTGCCACATTTCCTTGAACAAAAAGTCATGCTTGTCTAGATGTGTGACTTGACTTAACTGGAGAAGAGATTTGCTGGCCTCAACTTAAGAATGTGTTTCATGAATATATCAAATTGAGAATGATCGGTCCTGTCTGATAGTGGTGAAAATCCAGTGCTTAGTCCTGTTAAATATGAGAATTTCAAGGGAAGTACCACAGTCTAAATTTGTCTGAGGACTAATTCAAGCTTGCTCTTGTTACTTGAACTTGACTTTGCGTAGGAATGAACAGAAGAGTAAGTTCTACATGGTTTTATTAACATTTGAGAAGAAACTTCCCTAATTGATACTTGGTTAGGTTAATTCTCTCCTGAGTCCTGTTTAATACATATTCCAATTTCAGTAAGGACACCAGATTCCAACTATAATTATAGGCTCCTACTGGTGTAGCATGTAATGCAGCTTAATCTAGGTTAGATTCCCATGGTTTTTCCTACATCATACTGTGCTCAATGTGCAGTCCATTTTCTTCACCCTTCATTTCTGAAACCGTTATTGGATAATTGATTCTTGTAATGTGTAATTATGGTCCATTACTAGTATAGCATGAAGTGAAGCTAAATCTAGGGTTGCTATTGCTATAATATTCCCCACGTGATTGTGCAGTATGCTTTTTCTTCACTGTTCTTGTCAAAGGCCATTTCTGATTCCTCTAAACAAAGGGTCTGAAAGTTCGTTCTGATATATTGCAAAACCTATGTTTGGAAACATGTGTTTAAAGTTGCAACACCTGGAAATTGGGTGAAACTGCAACTGTTGGGTGTTGCAGCTGTGAAGTGTTGCCTAACACCGCAGAAAAGCTGAAGCACCTCCTTTCAAAGTGGTAACTACTGGACATAGCTATACCAAATGCCCTATGAGTATATTCAGTTCTTTCCTTCTAGCTTCATTTGCTTGGGATTTTTCTTCTTTATCAGTTCATTTTTTGTTACATAAGTTGGAATTCCAATTTATGGTGAAGCAGAGAACAGTTCTGATTGTTTTTAGCTGGTTTGTCATGACTAGATATCGTTTGGGTGCTGAGTTTGCTTCACGTTCAAATGACATTGTACTGGATGGAATTTCTTGAATTCTCGATTGTTCTCATTTTATTCTGTTGAAATAATGGATGAAAAAATTCAACTTTTAGAGTGGTAAAACTCGTGCTTACATGTTTCAGCACTTGAGAAGATATTAGCAGACCATGCTGGAAAATATGCCACGGGAGACGAAGTTTGTCTGGTTTGATTTCTGGGCTCTCTCTTTGCTGAAAGCTTCCATCTTTTTGTTCCATCTTGTTTGTTTTCTATTCTTTGTCATGGTCAAATTTTCAGGGCTGTTCACAGATCCATTATACCTGTTCCTCCTCTCTCTTTCTAGTGCATCATTAGGTTAATGTTAGGCAAATTGACACATTATGAAGCTCATGTGACTTCACACGTTTGTGCCAGAATCACCAACTGACTGTTGGAAGAAGAAAACCCCATACTGTATCACCACTAATGTTAACTTTTATAAGCTCATTTTTGAGAAAAGACGCTTTTATAAGCTTCTCTGTCTTCTGACCTCAGTATAATTTGGTGCTGAGTTAGCTGTTTATGCTGCAAATGGTCCGAATTCAAAAGTTCTTCTGGTCCTTAAAGGAAAATGAGTAAAAAATCTAGGTTCACTATACCTGTTTAATGAAAGATAGATCGTATGCTATGCTGATGTCTGTTGCACTCCGATGGAGAGCCAGAATGAGTTCTCTTCCCCAGTCTGTAGACTAAAAAGCTTGCCATCATGTTCTATTTGTTCTCCTTCGAAGTGATCAAACAAATCATGTGTAGGCCGATGTTTTCCTGGCACCCCAGATTTATGCGGCTGTCAAGAGGTTCAATGTTGACATGGTAATTCTCTTGCCTAAGCATGCATAGTTCATATCATATGGAGTTCGGAATTAAATTCCTTCTAAGTTACTCTTCTACAACAAACATTAAATAAAGAGTGGCATTGTGGATCTGTAATGGTGCAGAACCATTATCTGTAATTTCACATTTGCTGGATAACAGAAGGTCCCCATAAACTGCACATGGATAAAATCAATCATTCCGAACTCCATTTATACATGACGGCTGGGAAAAAAAGATAAAAACTCCTCCTGCAAATGGTTGCCCAAATTTCATAAGTGTCTTGGTTTATCATGAATCAAGAAATATCCAGTTCATTGCTCTTAACTACTTTTGTAGAGTCAATATCCTATCTTGTCAAAGCTGCACGAGACATACTGTGAGATACCTGCTTTTCGAGATGCCGTGCCAGAAAATCAGCCAGATGCTCCTCAACCGCAAGCTTAGCTGGACCAGTTGGTGGGACTGCAAAATACTAGCTCGGCAGCTGCTTTAAGAATGTGGTGATTCCGAAGAATAATATTGCCTGAGTTCACGGGGTATAATGTTTTTTTTTTTTTTTGAGTCAAGATGCGGGGAATTATGTTGGATGCCTATATTCAACCGCAAGAACATTTCTTTGGCTGCTCTCAACTTTTCATATATGCAACACCTGGCATACTAAGAGAGTTTACTTTGGTCTCTCTCTCTCTCTCTCTCTCTCTCTCTCTCTCTCGAATCCTCGTGGAAAAAATGACATACTTTGAGAGTAGAATGTGAGAATGCTAAATCACATTGTCGTATGATTAATGCTTTGATTGGAGCGATCAACGTGGAATCACAGAGATGGGGGAGTTGCATGAGTAGACGAGACATGAAGAGATGAACTAAACATATTAAAGACATCATCCTTAATAGGTCATCAGAAAAGCAGTGGTGACTTTGTTTTTGGCCTTTGCCATGCTGATATACGTGAAAGTTCAGCAGTTGATGTGTGTGCGTTCCATGTGAGCTCCGTTAGTGGGGCCCACACGATGGCGGGGCCTACATGATGGATGGACAAAATGGATCCAATCTACTGGACTCGGTTTACGAAAGATTTTTTTCCCTGTGCATGAAAAATACTGAATCTGAGTCTATTGAATTTGATTTGTCTATTGAATTTGATTCATTGTTTGATTAAATACCATGTCAGAATAGTTAAAGCCTAACGGTTGATTATGTGCGTTCGTGAGCTCCATGAGAGTTGCCCACTCGGCGAATGGACGAAATAGATCCAATTCATTGGACTTGGTCTATGCTAGAATTTTTCCTTGTTGCATAAAAAATACTGGATCCGAGTCTACTGAATTTGATTTATTTCAGCCGTTGATCAGATGGGTCTCGCGTGAACCCCACGTATGAGACCGACATATCCAATGAATGAGATGGACTCGGACTGCATTCAGACAAGAAATTCCCCTGGTGCCAGGCATCTCTGACATCATGATGCGTATCCATGAAAAGAGATTGGATTCCATCGTCCTGCGAATTTGCTGTCTTTACAGCTGAATGGCACTAAACCCACGAAACAACTCAAAGTCTCAAAGTACACTGAACCAACTTCTGTACGTTGATTCCTCAGAGATCATGCTTCTCCGAGAACATTACACAGTCAAAATCTTGCAACTTCTGTTTTCCCTCGTAAGGTCTGTTTTGGTGTTCCCTCGCCGAGGAAAGCTCGGGGAATGAACATACATGATTTTAACATACTACTATGGAAAAATTGAAAACAAAGAGAAAATTTCCCACTCGGACGTCTTCCCTTCTATACAGATGGAGATGAGAGCGCTCTGACCCGTGCTAGGCAGTTATCTATTGGCCTCGGATGGGGCAAGTACCTTGTTGCACATCCGGGATTGAGTCGTTCAAGCCTGCCACATGTACAACCAGAAGGTCATTATCAGATGATGACTTTGGTTAACTGAATTTCTATTTAAGTCCATAACAAGACATCCCTTTACATCTAGGTGGGTGGTTATTACAAGACTCGCAGAACAGAAGCCGATTCGTGTGGAAAGAACAAAGGGTGTAGTATGGGTCGAAATGGGCTTGGTATGGTTGTGTCTGATAGTGTTTTTTGGTGAGATAAGAGTTGAGCTTTTGTCTCGGTGCGGTCCAAACGGGTAAAGGAAATTAGAATGCCCCCAACTGAAGCGCATTGTATTATTTCTATCTATTCGTTTCTGTCCTAAACCTTCCATGATTAGTTACATCATAAATTGAGAACTAGCTTATTCTGATTTTACTTGAACATCACTGCCCAGTTACACTCAAACGGTATGAACTCACTCCCTTACACAACGTAAGTTCTTATGACCTCGATAAGAACCGAATGCATACGTTTGAAGGCCTCCTGGTTTCTTTCTAATAGTATAACCTTTTAATTTTATTGCTAAAAACCTAAAACTTTTAACTAGCTGGACTAGCAAGAAAAAAAACGAAAAGAGAACAGGAATTATACGACAAACTCACCTATAGTTAAGAAGGAAATGATGCAGGAAAATCGCTATCTCAAGCTTTGCGAGATCATTTCCAGGGCACATCCTGCTTCCTGCTCCAAAGGGAAGAAAACTTCCTGCTTTGGGTGTGTAACCCTGAGAGACAAGGGGCGATATTACTCATTAGAAAGCGTTCTCACATCATGTCATTAACTATCAACAGTACAGTACTTATGATGGCATCAAACTTACATCCCATCTGGAAGGATCAAACTTCTTTGGATTCGGGTATATTTCGGGATCCAAATGAACGGTTCGGAACCAGACCAGAACTTTCCAACCCTGAGGAATAGTGTAACCTGACGAAGATCAAATGAATTCAGCACAATCACGAGACAACAGGTGTTATATGTTCTCTTTGTAAGAGGAGAGGGGAAAAAACAACTCACCATTTATTCTGACATCTGATTTCGCTTCACGAAAAACCACCAGTGAGAATGTGATCACGCGAAGTGTTTCGTCAATAACCTTTCATATTCAGTGCGAATTCAAAATCTGTTGCATTCTGTAGATTGCATAGAAAAGGATGACGCCAAATAGAGTGAAAAACGAAAGGAAAGTACCTTGGACAAGTATTCCATCTGCCGAAATTCCTTGAGGGTCAAACCCTTTTGTGCCGGCGGTCTCTTCTTCACGATCTCTTCTTGCTCCTCCTATCATGTGGTACAGAGAAGCTAAGATGCTGTGGGTAAAAATCATTACGGAGCTTGACCCCAATGCCAACAAAACAATGAAGTGTGAAAGTGAATCGAGTTTTTCATGACAGATGGCCGATGAAATGGTTCGGCTCATAAATTGTATTTCCAAAAAGACCTTATAGAAATACCAAAATTTCATTCCCTTGGTTAAAGGCTCTTCCTGTCAGCTACGTCATCACGCTCTTAACACTCCATTGTGCTAGTGTATCGTACTGGCACATATATTGGAGAGGCTGATGCGAAGCATTTTGGTGAAACTTATATAATGGAACTGTGGTAGAGTAAGGAAAAGCATATTGCCTTGCTCAAACGCAGAAGCTTTGCAAGATGATGGCTATATGGTATATCACATAGAATCAACGAATTAATAATGCCTGAGCTCAGTACCTTGGCTTTCTGAAGGAACTCCTGGTTCTCTTGTAGGAAGATGGTTGCCCACATCATGATGTGACCGGAAGATTCGTGGCCTGCATTTAAGTACATCAACAACACATCGATGATTTCCTCATCGTTCAACTTTCGACCGTTTTCGTCTTCTACTTCTAGTAGGGCATCCATCATGTCCTTCTTCTTTGCAGGAACCTTGGTCTCCTCCTGATTCCGTCGTTCCTCCACTATGGATTGGAATATTGCCACTAGTTTTTTCCGAGCCTAATGTCCGTTTGGAAAAAAAAAAAAAACAGTAGGTGCTGAGTATCTGATGAAGCTGGTAGTGATATTGACTGCAAGTCAACCATTCTATTCATGATCCATAAAGATTGGAATTGTTACTGGACTTCTATCCAAACTTACTTTAAAAATATTAGATGAAAGGTTCAATGAGATTGGATTACGTCAGTCAGTTCTTCTGTCAACCGGTTTTGGAATTGTAAGAATGAGTATTTACAACTGCCATGTTCCTTTTGGAGGTCAAAAGAATCGAATTACTTAAGTGTTCAGTGCAAGACTATAAATCAAACATGCCTCAGTGAATCAATTCTCACCTTGAGTGCTTTGTGGTAAGCAAATCCTGGAAGATTGATTGCCATGGCTCTAACACCGTGATTGAGAGTGGTGTATTCCCTTTCTAAAGCCTCCATCACCGGTTCGCTCTCTGAGCTAAGAAAGATATACATGATTATCCTGAAGGTGAGCTTCCGAAGTTCAGTCACGAATTCAATTTGCCCCATCTTGGACCACTTATGAAGCGCAGATATGACATTTTCTTCAATATATCCTATGTATAGAGACAAAGCTTCATGACCATTGACTGGAGCGGCGGTCAAACGCCTAAGCCTTTTGTGTTCTTCATATGAAATCCCTATAAATGATTTCTTCCCGATCAATTTCAAGGTTGAAACGGGCCAACCAGGCTGGAATTTCTCATCATCAGTCAATACTCTTCGGCATGGCTCAGGCATGGTCACAATCACGCTCGGGCTCCCAAACATGAAGGCCTTGTAGATTCCGGTACGACCGAATCTGCAAATGCCAACTAAGATTATTTGCTACATTCTGTAGCCCAAGAACAGCATTATCTTATTTGTGCTCAACACTTGATACGCCAGGACTCCTGATGCTTTCAAACCCAATAGTCAAATAGGTATTTGCCTGTTCTCAGCTCCAATCCTCAAAATGTTTTCGTGAGATAAATCAATACCATTAACTAAAGTAGAATTAACAACTAAAAGCTTGACCCTATCGATGATTCCAATTCTTGATTCGCATCTCCATTTTTCAACCACTACACTCTCAAATCATTATTTCTTTGTTAATAGACATTAAGGGAATGTTTATGATCAACACGATGCCGATGGAAGATGGGAAGCAACTGTCCTTATGTGAGAGCATGCTTGAGCTCTGTTTTTTTTGGGCTAATAAACTGGTCCCCTAGCAGGGTTACCAATTAAACTATCTGTATTTGCCCGAGATTAATAAAGAAAGTGAAGCAGAACAGAGAAGAAGCAGCTTACAAAAAGGTATCGACAATGTGAGTGGAAGAACGAGGAAAAAACAACTCCCTGAAGATACCCAGGTGGGCGTTCTCAATCTGTGACTCCATCTCCTAGAGCGGGGACCATATTACAATTTGTGCAGGAGTTTCACATACAATTTCGACGTAAGAATCTCAAATCAATTCAGTAGTTACTGATACCCCAAAAGATGCTCTGTTGCTAACTTTCAAATTTTCTCATTAAATTAACGGTAACAAATTGACGGTAAAAACAGGTAAAGAGCCGGTTCTTTAACAGTATATGCATGATTCGAAAGTTTTCAGTCATGGGTAAGGTTGTATTGTGCATCAATCTCGACAGAACTTATGTTCTTGGTTCACCGTTGCGTTTAAAGCTCTTAAAATTGATATTCTCTTGGTAGATCAAGAACCTCGAAGCCCTTCGACAACAATTTAGTATGCAAGTGAGTATTCTAATACCTGGAAAAAACAATGACAAGAGGAGGAAGAAATGGACAGCTGAATAAACTAAGTACCAGAATATTCAAAGTAGTTATGGACTGAATTTAACTGATAGCAAAGAGCAGTTGCATTACCCACTACCATCCAAACCACAAAAGGCTGATTTTTTCCCCTTCCTACCCCCTCTAAGACACGTGGGACCCACTCCAATTTTGTAGTGCTTCAACTATTTGCAAAGCAACCGGCCTTTTTCGACACAAAATGTCTGCGTATGGTTTATGATTTTACTTGTCTAGTTGTCCACAACTCAAAAACCAAATGACCCGCATAATCTCTCATATCATCTCACACCCGACCCAAGAAAAAGATCAAAAGAAAAAGATGAAATATGCAAATCTTAGTTGATGATTCTGTTTCATCAAAAGTTTGAGGGAGACAAGGCGAGGTCAATCAAGCACTCAAAGAAAGTTCCAATACTGTTCCCATTTTAGTGTTAGCCCAGCCCGGCTGAGCACAAGTACTGTGCTTATCTATCTCTCCGGACAAATGGCATATAATTTCTAATCTTCTCTGCCGATGCACAGCACCAAGACCAGCACATATCAGCTAAAGACCTTTCATGTCATATCTGAGAGTTACTAGATTCCACGAACAAGTTGAGTGGCACACGTGTGTGGCAGTGATCAGATCGAGCACTGGATTCACTTTATCTGATGTCGAGAGGAGTAAGGGGTAGGTAACCACATCGAGATGGCTGTGGCGCGGCAGAGACAATGGTTGGGACGGCGGTGGCCGGACGGCTGACCGATTGCCGGGGGGAGGGGGGAGAGAGAAGGGCACTAGAGCGGGCAGGGGGAAGAAGGGTTTCAGAAACCATGTTTTTGTTTAAGCGCGCACGAACAAAGAGTCAGTGAAGGAGCGACTAGTGTCGCGTCACGCTGCACAGATCAACCTCGATCAGTTGCTCTGTCTTTCTTGATCTTGTTTTTGCAGCTAGAAAAAGAAAAAAAATGATGATAATAATAATAGAAGAAAAAACGAAAGACATCGGCGAGATTTGTAGGGATTCACGACCAATCAAGGAACGGTGCCACACGGTTGATGTCTCGTACGTTGAAGATGGAAGAATGTGTGAAACTGTTCTTGGGACAGTGAAAATGACAAAAATCAGCCAGCTCTTCCTCTCTCTCTCCAACGAATCAGTGACGTCCTACTCTTTAACTCGAGTCTCAGGATTTTCCTCTTTAAAACTATTTTTTTATAAGAGAAGCAGAGCAGCAGAAACCCAAATGAGAGAAAGAAAGAAAGACAGAACAAAGTTAGTGGTTCATCATCACCTCGGCGACATGTTCAAGAAAAGAGCAGAATGCCACGACTTGACAAGTTCTTGATCGAGACCCAGAATTTCTCTAACGCAAAGGAATCGGACCCAGGATTTTCTTGGATTACTCTTGCACTTTTGCATTTACAGAGCCGAGAGGTTTTCAGAGCAGAGAAGGTGTGAAATTGCATCATTTTGTGCTTGAGCAGGTGAGGAAAATGTCAGATAAAAGAATGCGATCAACAGAACCAATCACAATGAACTAAGAAACTTTTCTTTTGTGAGAACGCATTGAGGCCAGAGAGAGAGAGAGAGAGAGACCTGTTGATGAAGGATGACATGAAGGAATCAGGATCGCCAGACTTGAAAGCTCTGAGGAAGGACCACATGTTCCCAATGAAAGGCCATCCGAGATCACCGGGAGGCAACGAGCGCCGTCGCTCCTCGTCCAGCCGGATCTCGTACAAGTACCAATTCGCATGCTTGAGAAGCCATGCGAGAGCCATCAATGCCACGAGCATCAGGAACGAAGCAGAGGAAACGGAAGAAGCGAGCTCCATGACAGAGGATGGCGACGGACCTCTCTTGCGTTCTCCCTTGATGGGGCCACAAGAGCCTTTTCCTTAGCTTTTAGCTTTCCTTCACAAACAGCTGATGAGAAACAGAGGCTTATGAGAGAGAGAGAGAGAGAGAGAGAGAGAGAGAGAGAGAGAGAGAGGTGTTTTAGAGAGTGGAACTCAGAAACATCCCTCTCAGTCTCTTTCGGTGTCCTATTCTATACGAGCCTTATATAACACTTGAGAGGGACAAGTAGCCGGGCTTTATCACCGGAGCATCGAGGTACAAATAAAAGAGAAGTCCAGTTTACTGGTCAAGCACACACCAGGAAGCATGTAACTTGGCCCCCAAAAAAAAAAAAATTTACCCTGCCATAATCTGCCTATTCTGCGAGGAGCCCACTTTCTTTTTTCTTTTATTACGACGGTGATGTTGAGTATCGGGCTTTTTGAACACTTCACTATCTCATCGTGTCTTTGAAATCTTCTTGTCTCGACGTGATGACGTAATTGTTATGATAAAAGACCTTTAGAAGGGTACACAAAGGAAAATGAGACTCGAGTTGTGATTGCCCTCATTCGCACGGAGATTGACGCGGATCGAATCTTATCCGACACTATTAACCTTTGAATCTCGAAAAATCGAGTCACGTGAGATTTGGCATAGGAAAAACGAATGAATTAGAATGGAATGAAGAATGACACAGAATGAGTCCTCTACTTTAATGTGCCAAGAAATTAAGCAAGAATCCAAAGTAAAAGAATGTGTGTTTAAATGCCCCCAAAAAGGAATTTACAAGGAAAGAAAGTGTTAAAGGTTCAACTGACATATGTTGTATTGAGGAATAGAACGGGCATTTGTTCTACCAAACGACCCTAAAAACTTTCAACTCGCTAAAAGTGCTGTCCTTTAATTCCATTGAGAACTTCTTGGTGGTTTTGTTACTAGAGAAAGACAACATGGCATTAAAAAATTACAGATTCTTCAGGCGACAAACCCTCCTGAAAATGACTGAGAATGGCTCCTAATGCAACTGTAAAAGAAGAGGGGCTACTTTCACCAAATATAAAGGGTCGCGGGGCCACTAGAGAATTATTATAATAATAAAGTACGAGAGTATTTAGTAATTTGCCCTTTTTGAGATTATTTTTACAACATAGAATCATTTTTGTACACCATAAAATGGAGAAAAGTTTTTTCTACAACAAAAGTAATAAAACTTATGCTCGGAATATTGCAATCCAACCTAAATCTTTTCAATTGGTTCAATCAAGTCCTAATCATTTATCAAAAACTGCAATCGGGTGTTAATAATTTTCATTGTTTTAATTCATGTAAACCTTTACTTTTAAAAGTACAATTAAGTTGGACAACTCATATTGACAAGGGCAAATTAAGGGTCTCCCACATAGGCAATTTTTGAGCGACACGTAGGCAATCTCCTTGAAAGAACTCGAGTGCACTTGTGAAAAAAGGTTTAGGATTTACTCGAATCTTTTGAAATGTTTATTATTTGATTGCATTCTGTGCACATAATTTAGGACTTTTGGGGTGCACTGTTCAAGAAAGAACTCCATAATACTAGCAATGAGGTAAGGCATGACTCAAAGCACAAGAGACAATGCTATAGATATGAAATTGCCTGCACTTAATGATAACGGATAATCGGACTTATTCGACCCGCACAAGTCGGTTCCTTTGCCATTAAAAACAACCTAATAGGTCACAAATTTTGTTGTCCACGCATCCCCTTTTTTGTCCGATACTTCATGTACCTCATTCGAATCAATCTATAGAAAATCTCCCACTTTTCTTTCTTAATGTGGAAAAAAAAGCTTGGATGGAGGGTCATGGAGAAAAGAGCCCTGGCGGGAGGTGGGGAGCCAATGAGGGTGTGTCATCTATGGAAATGGCCCTTTATGCGAGATGGGAAGAGGTTGCCGGCCTATATAGCCTTCGTTTGTCGCATTGTCCATTGGCTTTTGTCATCCTCTTCCTCTCTGCCCCTCCTCAAACTTGAAGCTTTTCAAGACCAAAAATGGGTTTTTGGCCACTTTGCCATGCCTTGCTTTAGAGAGAGAAAGCAAGAAAGAAAAAGATTTGGCCTACTTTGTCTTCTTCACTTGGCCTTGTCATGACGTCGTTACAAATCGCTCTTTGTTCTCTAGATGCTAGTGGACAAGACACGTACTCGATAGCCGTATCTGGTTTTTCTGAATAATCCTTGGTTTTGTTTTCTAGCTTGTTTGTACGTGCTTTTGAATATGCTGTAAGTACAATGTCTAAGTTCGCGGAATCTATGATCATGCTTGGACCATTCTCTGAGTTACTGCTGTTAAATGCAATTTCGCATATTCTCGAGTATCTTCAAAAGAAGTGATTCATGATCTTAATGATGAGCTGAATCCAACCTTGAGACAATATGTCTTCATGCTGGAGGTGTGGTTCATACTTTCCATCTATAAGAAGGCACGGGGGTCCTCGGGGTAGCCGTCCACGACCCCAGATGGCTTTTTAGTTTGGATCCGTATTTTATTGGTAATTTGGATTTGGGCTCATGAATAACTACTGATTATATATAATCTTTTTCTCTTATAATTAAGAGTTGCAACAGAAAGATGAGAGGCATTAATTATAGTTGAATCATGGATGTAGACCTAGTTTAAGGGTAAACCATGATAAAATCTTGTGTTTTGATTTCTCTTTCTCGCCTTTTTACTCTATATTTCATTCTGTTTGTGCACCTAATCCTAACACTTTGAAGGTGTATATGCATAAGTAACTAGTGAGCCACATGTAAGAAATGGCCAAAAAGAAAGGAATAAATGCGCTAGAAGTTTTAAAACTTGTTGTGAAAGTATAATCGAATCCTAAAACTTTTAAAATGTGCAATCAATTTCTAAAATTAATAAAATTGGTACAATCAAGTCTTTCTGTTAGCTTTATTCAATTCGACTAACTGGATATACTTGTTAAGATATGAAATCTTTTTGATGTCTTTTTGAATTTCAAATTAGCTTACCAACTATAGATGAGTTGGCATTCCTTGATTTTTGCAACTATAGATGAGTTGGCATTCCTTGATTTTTGCTTTGCCAAAGATTGTATTTTTTCTTCTCTTTATAAACGTGTACAATCTGTAAATGTATAGTAATGAAAATCATTCTCAAACGTTGAGCTTCTATATGGTATCAGAGCATTCTGCTCCTAAGAGCCTTTTTGATCCGGCCATTCTGCATTGTTTTGGCAACCTTCTGCATCCTCTAGCCATGGAAGTCACTTCAAAATCAGCTCACACCACCTCAAATTCTGGTTCCAATTCCATTGGGACAGCCGCACCTAATGGTTTGATTTCAATCTCGGCAGCCGTCCAATTGCCATTCAAGCTCTCCGCTGCCAATTAGCCCTCTTGGCGTGCTCAATTTCAGGCGTTGCTCATTGGTTATGATTTAATGGGATTCGTTGACGGGACTTCCGTCTGTCCACCTCTCACCGTTTTAGCTGAAAATCAAACGGTGCCAAATCCAGCTGCAACAACTTGGATTCGCCAGGATCAGCTCTTGCTTCATGCAATTTTTGCATCCGTATCCGAAGCCGTGATTCCTCTCATTGCCTCTTGCAATTCGTCACACGCTGCTTGGACAAAACTCATGAATTTATATGCAAATAAATCCCTCTCAAGAGTTATGCATCTCAAGGATCAGCTCTCTACCGCTCGCCGAAACTCACGTTCTATTTCAGATTTTTTGCAGGAACTTAAAGCCCTTGCGGATGAATTAGCAATCATTGACACTCCTCTCTTCGATGATGATTTAGTCATTCATGCACTTCGGGGACATGGAACCGAATACAAAGAAATCGCGGCAGCGATTAGGGCTCGCGAAAACACAATCAGCTTTGAGGAAATGCATGACAAGTTAGTGGCCTATGAAACCCAACTGAAGTTAGAAGAAATCAGACTTGAAGCAGCACCAGTCACGGCCCACTACAGCAACAGAACCCATAAATCCACCTACACGAACTCACAAAATGACCACTAGATCCCAAAATAATATTTTCAAGGCCAAACAAATCAACCACATCTCCACCAAACATCCACTTCCACCGACTATAGATCCAACGGGAATTACACAAGCTATGTGCAATCCTCAATGGCGTGAAGCAATGTCGGCTGAGATCAATGCCCTTATTCGTAACGGGACTTGGGAACTAATACCTTTTGATCCATCTTTGAATGTTGTAGGTGGCAAATGGGTTTATCGGATAAAAAGACGAGCGGACGGCAATATTGAGAGGTACAAGGCACGTCTTGTGGCCAAAGGTTTTCACCAACGACCAGGCCTTGATTACACCGATACATTTAGCTCGGTCATCAAACCAAATACCATTCGGGTGGTCTTATCATTGGCTCTAATGCGTGGATGGACATTGAGACAAATGGACGTCAACAATGCCTTCCTCCAAGGAACTCTCCAGGATGAGGTCTACATGTCGCAACCGCATGGTTTTAAAGACCCAGAAAAACCAACACACATTTGCAAACTTCGGAAAGCCATATACAGGTTAAAGCAGGCTCCGCGGGCTTGGTATAATGAGCTAAGTTCATTCCTTCTCGCAAATTCATTTGTAAATTCGAAGAATGACAGTTCACTGTTCATTTACTCTCAAGGTGGCATTCAAGCCTATTTTCTAGTGTATGTAGATGACCTCATTATCACAGGAAGTGACCAGAATTTTGTTTCGAACTTCATCACTGCTCTCTCTAATCAGTTCTCAATTAAAGACTTGGGGCCACTAAATTTCTTTTTGGGAATTGAAGTCATTCCTACAAAGACCGGCTTACTTCTTTCTCAACATAAATATATTAGAGAGCTACTTGAACGCTTCAAAATGGGAGACACAAAAGATGTCGGGACACCATTAGCCACGGGTCAGTCTCTTTCGGTCCATGACAAAGAACCACCAGCTGATGCTACAAAATTTTGAAGCCTCATTGGCGCACTTCAATACCTCAACATTACTCGCCCGGACATTGGTTTTGCGGTAAACAAGCTATCTCAATTCATGCATAAGCCGACCACAACCCACTGGATAGCCGCAAAATGGCTCTTACGCTATCTTAAGGGAACATTATTCCACGGGTTGCACTTGAGACGCAACACAAAACCTGTACTTCATGCCTACACTG